AAAAAAAAATAAAATAAAATAAAATATTAAAATATTTCCTTCTTCCAAGAAAATTTGAAAGTATCCCTTCCAAATCCGAACTTCAGCGAAGAGAAATTTTTAATTAAGTTTCCTTAATTAAATATTTTCTTTAAATCAACTTAATTAAGATAAATTTTTCTTTAATTAAGTTGAAATCAATAACTTTACTTTGCCCAGAATATTCTCCAAATAATTAATTTCCTAGCAGCAAAGGAAATTAATTTTCCGTGTTTTGACGAGAATATTCTCAAATATTGCTTTGATTTTTCCTTCCTTTCCGCGGCAAGGCAAAAGAAAAGAAAAATTGCAACTTTCCTTTCTCCTCAGGAAAAAAATGGAAAATCCAATATTCTCCTTCCCTTCCAATTTCGTTTCTTTCTCCGTATTCCTGCGTCCACTTGCCATCGCCGGCGAATCTGGCTCTGCGACAGCCCTTTATCCGCGATTCGCAAACTTCCCGTGTCGCGAACCTTCTGCCACGAAGAAGCCTCCGCCTTTGCTGCAGAAGAGGCAATAATGCACGTGAACTCCTCTAACCGCGAACGTCTGCGATTCCTACTGAGAATCTCGATGTCCTCCGCGAACAGAGACTCCCGAACCGTCCGACGCTGGTCGAACACCGCCAAAATCCTCTATTTGCAAACGCTCCTGTTCGCGGTAACTGCACACGAGCTCCTGTTCGCGAACTCCACCTCGCCTAATGCCGCGAAAGTTCATGAACTGTCGTGCCTCAAAATCGCGACGCCACCTCAACCACGAACTCCCCGAAGCATAACTCGTTGAACTGTCGTAGCCTTTTATCCGAACTGCTTCGCACCTGTTCGTTCCCGCAAGCCCGTTCGCCTTGCGAACAATTTTGATCCTGTAACAAAAACTTTTCTGCAAACAAAATCTTCTGCAAAAATCCTTTCTTAGAACTCTTTTTTTTTGAAAAAGAATGAAAAGAGAAAAAAAATTTATTTTTTTTGAAAAAGAAAAATATTTATCCTTAATTAAAGAATTTTGCTTAATTAAATTTCTTTAATTAAGTTTTTCTTAATTAAATGCTTTTAACAAACATAATTTTAAATAAATTTCCTTTCCAATTACTCAGCAGCCGTAGGGATTGGATTCCTTTCTCAGCGGAGCCAAAAATGGGCCCGCTCCTTTCCTTTTCTGCCATTCTGCCAGATCTCGCGTGCGAGCCTTCCTTTCCATATCCGCGATTCGCAAACTTCCCGTGTCGCGAACCTTCTGCCACGAAGAAGCCTCCGCCTTTGCTGCAGAAGAGGCAATAATGCACGTGAACTCCTCTAACCGCGAACGTCTGCGATTCCTACTGAGAATCTCGATGTCCTCCGCGAACAGAGACTCCCGAACCGTCCGCCCAGGTGACGAACAGCTTCCCTCTGCTACGTCCGCGAACAGCTTTGCCTCCAAGCGCTGCCCGGTTCCCTTCCGCACGAACTCCTCTCCGGCAAATCGGAATTGCCCCAAACTCCCTCTCCACAGAGATCGCGGAGTCCGAGAACCTTAGCTCTGATTCGTAAAACCTCGCCACCAAATTTCTTCTTGCACCGCCGAAGAAAATTTTCTTCCCCTCGAACCAGACTCTGATACCACTTGTTGAGAAAATTAGGGCGAAGAAAAACAGTAATCGACACAAATCCAGAGATACCACTTGTTGAGAAATTAGGGAGAAGAAATAGAAAAATCGACACAAATCCAGAAGAACACACAGAGATTTAACGTGGTTCGGCAAAGATGCCTACATCCTCGGGAGCAGAGCGGCGACTTCCTTTTTAATATTCAGAAAAGAATACAGAATACAATATTTAGCTCTCTCAAAGACCTAGGATTACAAATAAATTTATTTATAATCATAGAGTAAACCCTACAGCACAATATGTAATTCCCAAATTACCCCTGTACCGTATAGCGGGACGTTGAACCAGCACCCCCAACCCACATAACATAACATCCCGATTTGGACAGATTCTTCCGTTTCGCTCCGCTCTGCTCCGCTTCGTTCCAGCGTCTGTCCCTATATGGTATATGAGCCATACCATAACAATGAAAATAAATCTGTTAGCTTGCTTTTAATTTGCTCATAAATTCTCGCATAATTTCTTAGAAATTTAAGATCATTTCATTATCAATGGGGCTTAAACTCTACTATCACATATTTTCATTGAAAGAAATTGAGTGGTTGAATTCTCAATTTTGTTTGCATGGAAACAAATTACATGTCATGTTCATTGAATTAGGAAATTCTAAACTTGAGTAGCCATGCAATATAATTAGAATAATGCTAGTATATCAAAGCTTTCATGATTTAATCAATGCATACTGCATTGAAAAAAAAAAGGCAGTAAAGAGATCATTTGAAACTCCACAAGGACAATCTACTCAAAGGGCACAGCATGTCTACGCAACAATCCCACGACCCCCATCTCCCCCCCACCCTCATGTCAATCCCACGAGCCTCTTATCCATTCCCATTTTGTGACCAAGGAAAACAGAAAAAATGAAATGGGTTTTGCCTCAACATTTGCTTCCAAAATCGTTATTTTTTTTTCAAGAAACAAGTCTGGATTAATACTTTTACTAAAGAAGGCGGTAAGCAGCATACTAGTCCGTTATAAATAATTCTCTCTGCTAATTAAAGAGAAGAAATTCAGAGCCAACGCAGTGAGAAGTACAACCAAATTATCAAGCATTTTTTCCTAACCCCTTGTAATGACAAAAGGAAAAATTAGTTTAACTGGTACTAATAAAGGATTACAGGAAAAAAAAAAGTTAAGAGAAGAAAATTGAATTAAAGGTAGCTCACGAAGGAGCGCCTCAAGATGATACCTTGGCAGCGAGAACCGAGGCAGTGGTCCTGCCGGAGCCTCCCTTGCCGAGAAATGTGACTATTTTTGTGTGCTTCTGACCAGACTCCCCAGAATCCGCTATTGAAACTTGGATTCTCCATCCACTACATCTCTTCTTTCGTATCTGAGGATCAGTGCCGCGTTTAGGGTTCCTGGGAAAGAGCCATTGGAAGGAGCCTGGGCTGAGAGCTAATAGCTCCATATTGAGTGAGCTTGTTGGAGTTTGCGTTAGTTGCACAATTCGGTCCCAAGGTCAATAATTCTTTCGTGGTACTCCTTGGAACTTTTTATCGAAAGCTGCATGTAACATGAATTTAGATTTATGGATTGATGCATCTCTCCAAAATTATTTCAAAGGTGCACAAATCTTAATGAATATCAGGAAATGGAACCCCAAAGGTTTAATTACATATATTCCATACCAAATGAAGTGTATTGATAAGATATGTCTACTCATATCAAATATAGCTTGATATGAATATATGAGAGTTTAGATTATGCACTTGAAGCATAATAAAAAAAATTTAGATATATTTTGCGGATCAAGTGATATCAAGGTTTGATAAGTTTATAGTCACATCGAGCATCTCTACAGGATGAATCAAATGAGTTTAATATCACTTAATTCTGACATCATTAAGGCACTTAAATGCTCATAAAATACCATCTGATCAAAAGGATCATTCTATATTGTGTGATGGCGTGGTTCATATTTATGTTATGTTGAATGACACTCACAAAATCGATAAATAGATCTTTACACTCTTCATAGAAAGGGACTTGAATCTGTAAAATAAGGTTGAAAAAGCTTCAATATCTCAAGGGTCCTCAAGCTCCACCATCAAACCACCAGTGTCTCACCAACACTCCTGTCAAACCATTGTTGCTCGGCCACCACCATCGCCACTACCGGACCGCCGTCATCTGGTCACCATAGCAGAACCCTGGGCACGTAGGCACCCAATATGCCTTCATGGATGTTCAAAACTGAATCCCTAGAAGTCTGGCGCTTGGGCACCCAAAACAGCTCAAAAAATAGGCATTTTACCAAGCCACCGGAAAGTATGCACACTTAGGTGGCGCCTCGCACCTAAGCGTTAGGGACCTAATGCCATGGCGCTAGACTAGGCACCTAAGAGCTAAGGTCGCGGCGTCTTAGGGCCTGTCCACTTCAAGGATGCAAAAAATCTCAATTTTTTAACCATTTTGACCCCGACACACCTCCCTATGCAACATAAATTATAGGATTTATGGGCTTAGAGGAGATTCACTTTAGGGAGGTAAAAGAGGGTAGTTATACCTCTTGTAAGCCTTATTTGGAATCTTTCAAGAAGGCTTAGCAAAACCATGTTGGGCAAATGAGAGGGGAAGGGCTGGTTTAACCCCTCATCTCCCCCATTTCAAATGATCTCCTCTCATTTTTCAGTTTTTGGTTGGTCGGGAGAGCTAGAGAGAGCACAAGAGAGCTTCATCTTCCTCTTGGAGATTTTTGGAGGTGTCTTAGAGAGAATATCTTAGAGCAAAGAGATTTGAGGAAGACACTTCATCTTACTCAAGGAGAGAGCTAAGAAGTTAGTCCCCTTCTTCTACTTCTTCCTCAAATTCTTCCTCTTCTTCCATCACTTCATTTGAGTGTGTGAGGAGAGTTTTGTGAGAAAGAGCTTGGCTAGCAAATGAGCAAGGTGCCTACTCTCCTACACTAAATGAGAGCTTCATCTTGGCTCAGGGAAGGATCGTCAGAGCTCAGAACTTCACCAAAATCTCACTTAACTCTCCTTCTAGCGGTGAGCTTCTTTGTTCTTTGGAGAATGAGTGGAACGGACCACATCAGAGCTTCGTCATTTCTCTACCACCAAGGGAGTTTCATCCTACATGAAGAAACATGACATCAATCGCCACGTTGGTGAGATTCTCTAAAATTCTTTAAGTTTTTCTTCTTAGCTAGCCCTAAAACTAGACTTTTCTAGGTATTTTGGGTTCGATAACCCACACGAGGCGAGTTGGCCGACCAATGTTAGTCGGCCCAACCACACAACTTTGGATTGCCCATTTATTTCAAAGATGAAGCCCTAGGTTAGGAAGCTTCCGTTGGATACATTCCTAGCAAATCTGAGAGATTTCCTTGTGAACCCTCAGATCTACACCTAAGCGGGTTGGAATCCCAATTTCCCCTTGCCTTGGCATTTCCAACCCTCCTTGGAGGGGTTGGGATATTCAAATTTTGTGAAGTGAGAAAATCACTATAGCCACCTCACTTTGCAAAATCATAAGGAGTTATGGAATGAGAAAAGCTTTGTAGCAAGTCCATTCCACAACATTGAGGAGAGTTTCCTTTTGAAAATTCTAAGGTGAAGCTCACAGCATGCCTTGCTAAAGCAGGAATCGATTCTGTAGCATATTCATGCTCCAAACTCTAGGTATTTACATGAGATCATGATATGAATGTGGCTCGCTATCGATTGTGATTATTCGCATTGCAAGATGTATTGGGGAATCGATTCTGTAGCATATTCATGCTCTAAACTCTAGGTATTTACGTGAGATCATGATATGAATGTGGCTCGTTATCGATTGTGATTATTCGCATTGCAAGATGTATTGTGTTATGATATGTGTCTTGTGTGAAGCATGTTGCACTAACACATTGCCTTGACCCAGCATAGCACATTGCTCCGACCGCCCGCCCCGGCCCAGTCGACCGATCACTCTCAAAACAAACATTATGCAAGTGAGATTAGTTATTCGACATGTTGGGTCCACCGAAGTGGTCAACCCTGGGCAACATAGCCAATCACTTTGGTCAGAACAACGTGCTATGTCGACTGGACCAAAGTTATTGGTCAACCAGGCGGAGGCGGCTGGTCAGACCCAATCACTTTGGTCCAGTCATATTCCCCATCCCAGTTAACCAATCACTTTGGTTCAGTCGGTCATCTTAGCCTGACTGAGTCCGTTGGCTATGTTGCCCAGGTTGACCATCCAGGTCAACCCAGCAGGTTGAACAACCAATCTCACCTGCATAATGTTTATTTTGCATCGTTTTTGTTAGCATATTTATCACTTGAAATATTAGTGTGCACTGATAAGAATATACCCATATCGAGTATATGCACTTCCCATGGGCATGCTGCTCCACATGTTTGCTCCGTGGCATCTCTGTGTCACGATGACCAATGTCATTAGTGTTTGTATTTGCGCTATTGCACTCTTACATTTCTACTTTACATGTTTTCTTGCATTTCCATAGTTCTACATGTTTGAGTCTTACTCGAGTCACTGTTCTTACACACCCGCCCCAGACACCCATGTGTCTGTGTCGGGGATAGCTTGCGTAGCAAGTCCCCCCTAGTGTGTAATTCTCTTCGACGAGAATTACTTCATTTCTTTCACATGGCATCAAAATGGATTACCATATGATTTCCCCTGGAGTCACTGCACCTCGTGCACACTTATACTCCTGGGATGCTGCCTCCATTTCACAACTATCCTTTAGGTCATTGCCTCCACTACATGCCCACATTTTCAAGTCACTACATTTTTAGCACACCCATTCCTTTAGTTCATTTTCTCAACGGCACGCCCACCCTTATAGGTCACTCCCTCCACCACACACCCATTCTTTTGGCTGCTTCCTTCACGACACACTCATCCTTTCATGTCATAGCCTCCATGACACATCGATTCTTTGGGCCGCTGCCCTCACGGTATGCCCACCTGGTTTGGGTCATTGCCTCTACAACACACCCATTCTTTGGGATGTTCCTTTTACAGCAAGCATGCTCTTTTGAGCCACTACCTCCGCGACACAACCATCTTTCTACGTCACTGCTCTACGAAACACTCACCCTCAACACTCTTATGTATGATTGTTCGCATTTGCATGTGCATGCATGCATGCATGGATAACGAGTCAGACTCGATAGGCGAGTGACCTCATGTTAGTCACGATGTATTAACGAGCATTGTTTGTCAGGTCGATCCCAGTGAATATTGAGAGTTAAAGCATCGGGACGGATACGAGTATGACTGTATTAAGGATCTAAGGAGTCTGACTCATTTCACCTTCCAAGTTAAGGATCCACATTTAATGACCCTTATTTTATAATTAAAAACATATTTATTTTTCTACTTATTACTATTGGCATAATTTTAAAATTATGCATGTAGTAAAATAGAGCATATGTAAATCTAGCTCTTTTCAAAATCCACCCAGGGTGACACCCTTTAGATCCCTTGGATATTTACGACGGGGTCGGTGTGGCGACTCGATCAAGGTTATACGTACCCAAAGATCATATCCAAGCACTTTTAGGTTATGACACATTCTCGTTAGATTATGTGTTATGCTAGAATTTAGGATGCTATGCAGCATTTTTGATGCCTCTGACTATTATTTTTTGTCGATTTGTTCGTGCTAGCCAAGCGTCACTTCTGTGCTTTTTGATGTGCATGTGTGCTTGATATGCATGGTAGTATATCATGACTTCTTTTTGTAAGGAGCCTTGTTTATATATATGCACACACACATGCAACACTAAGGGGGAGCTCGTAATGATTTCTACTAGCTTTTTGCTTGCTGGTGCCATGTAGCTCCAGCGATAAAATGACACGGCTCATTGTACGTTGCATGTTTGTTGGCTTTCCCGCTAACGTTGTTTCTCATGCAAGTCGAGTCATTTTTTTTCTCTTTTTTCCTGATGTTTTTTTTAGAGTCTTATGAGAGTCTGTATTAGAAATAAGGTACAAGCATGAATTCTGAGACGTCGGACGAACATGACCACGTGATAAGGATCATGAGCTGTTTACTCGTGTCTTATACCTTAATTCTAAATTTCATCAATAAATTGAATTATGACCAGACATGTACTTATGCGAAGTATGACTACCTTTTTCTTTTACAGGATATGTCGCTGACCCATCGGCACCGACTTTTATTATTTCATATTTGCCTTATTTTCTCGCTTTTCTGACATGTTTGCATGTTTTGATTGTTTTTCATGCCTTTTAATGTTGATCTGGGATGCTATAAAAACTATAACCTATGCTCATTAAAAGCCCTTAAAAGTATAAACTTTCTACTAAGAAAATCATAATCATAAAAGATTGAGATAATTTAAAATTTAAGATTAAAATTATCAGGATTTTTTAAAACTTACTTTTATTTTCTTGTGTGGCCCTTACGCGAGTTTTAAAATGGGTTGCATAGTATGACATTCAACCAAGTAATATCATAGAGCCGCCATAATATCTAAGAGCCACTATAAATAAGTGCATCATTTGTGTGTCCCGAGGAGAAG